TGTAAATTACAAGGTCACATCAAAAGAGGCCATGATTTTGTCCGACTAGATCGTCCGACCTTGAAGGGCTTCAAGGAAATAAGAGGCTGATTAAATTGAGGAAGTCGAGTTGTCTTGTAGGAATTTAAGCTTTGTGTACATCGCGTTTTAAAAGCTATAAGAAGGGCTAAATTTTAGAACAATAACTGACCGTTATGGGAAATTTGGCAGGAACGCTTGGCATACATGAAAATAACCTGACTATGCGATGTGGCGAAAAATATAGCAATTTGCTGCTTAAACCTGTAAAACGGACCGCCTACGCCGGAAGCCGAGCATTGATTGAAGTCTGGTCCACGAATGGTGACTACATAAAACGTTGTATTGACTTGCGCTGGCGTACTAAGTCCTGCGCAGTAACCTCCAGCCGTGCGTCACTAATAGTGGATTGGCCTTCACTCCATATAAGTCTAGCCTTCTTTATTGCTGTTGGTATCTCTGACGATAAACTCGTGCACTGCTCCGTTGCTCCACCAGCCCTCTCGGTTACACATGCAAACACCCAGAACGCAAATCTTTGCATTTAGTCAAAAAAGAAAGTGTGCGGCTGTCAATGGAGAACCCATTCGCAGGACAGATTAACTCATTGTACCTTAATTAAATTTGATACGTTTAATTGAATAACGCTGAGTTAAACGTTGAGGAGCGTGACCTCGGTTCTCCTAGTTTGCGTTTTATGCGTCGGACGACTGACTGGAGGACCGAGAATCATACTGCAGCGTACTGTCCCTGATGCGATCAATCCGTCATTCTTATACATTGGTTTTCGGGTGCTCATCATGAACCCTGGTATAGGCATCAGTCCGTGGTTGACACCTGTGAATGGACCGCTGAGCGTTGCCGAGTCCCAGGAAGCAGATGGGAAGATGAAAAATATGATGTAATCGCTGGACGAGAATATTATTGTCTTAACGTTTCGCATTCTTACTCCAAAGCATCATCAGAATCAGTCTCGGAAAATGTTAACAGAAGCACGAGGGCACAGTATTTATCGAATGTAGTTGCTAGGCTATCAATGCCTACAATTATTGGCAACAAACGCGTTCGTTTCTTGCGGCTGCAGCTTCTCAAAACTGCATAAAAACTACGAACAATTTACTGTTGCCTAGGCAGATAGTACTGCCCGCAAAGACAGTGGAGACTGGAATGGCTCATTAGGCGTCGCCAGCTAGTCAAACTCAGCCTCAAGTGGTGCCCCATCCGAGGCTCGAAACAGCGACCTTTTGATCAGAAGTCCAACAGTCTAAACGTTGAGCCATGGGCTCGTTTTCTTGCCGGTTCGGATAAGGAGATACTGGTTCTCAATGATTAACGTTCACGCATCAATAACGGGACTCATTTGTCCTTCTCTGTCCTAGGGCTTGTTCTCGAGACTCACCAGCATTCGCACAGTGTCTAGGCAGGTAACATTGTGGTTGCTGGCGTAGCCCGAGAAATGAGGCCCAAGGCGCAGCGAGACGAGTGAGTTGCCTAAGTGATCGATGAACTTTTATCAACGAGTGTTAACTGTTGTCTATCTACTTCACTAAATGGCTCATGATGCTATCCTATTGGCCAAAATGCAAACACTCCATTTGGCAGTTTAATCCATCGAGTCAGCTAGATGCTTATTGGTTTGTTCTGACCCAATCAGCTGGCGATGACGAGGAAGAGGAGGAGGCAGAGGAGGAGGGTGGCGAGGAGGGCGGCGGTGGTGGAGAAGCCGCGAAAAAAGACGAACCGCCGCCTGAGTTAGTGGCCGCTCAACTGGAGGAAGCGAGGGCTGAACGGGAACGCGAGATGCCCGATCTCAGCTCAGAGCCACTGACCCTCATGCCCTTTCCGCTTCCGACTCAACTACCCAAGAGCATTCTGCCGGACTGCGTTCTCTTCCTGCAGGCCACCGACCGCTTCCTCCTCGATCGAGCTCTCCGTCTGCCCGAAGAGGAAGTCGTGGGCACGCACAACAACGAGGAGGGTTTCCTGCGACGCCTCCTACTCTTCCGAGCCCACCACGCTGGCTCTGAGGTCGCCGCGGTACTGGCTGATGAGGAGCTGAAACAGACACTCTCGCCGATTCAGATGCAGAGACTGATTGTGGCCAGTCCCAGTTCGGGAGAGGTGGGCAATCCGGTGCAACAGTTGGTCCAACTGATGGCGGGCAGCTTGGACGCGGGCTCGGTGCAGGCCTTCTTTGAGGACAAGAAGGTGGCTCTACTGACCTTTGACATTATGTCTGAGACCTCGAAGGTGAGTCAGCTCTCAAGTTTGCAGTATTTATCAGCATTTCCTTTTAAACCTCGTCCTCCTTTTCCTCCTCCGTCTCGTCACCAGTATAAACATCGCCATTATTGTTTCTATAATACTGACGGGCAATACAAGCGAACACGCGAGTCCCAGACAGTAATTGAGAAGAAGACGACTCGATCGCTGGGACAGCACTTTTATTCGCCTGTATCTGTTACTGCGCTGTGATTATGTCTCTGATGACGAATCCGC